CCCCAAAACCCCAAAACCCCAAAACCCCAATAGAGAGATAATTGAATTTTCAGAGTAGAATAGGTCAGAGAATAAATAATGTAAATACTATTAGACTACATATTATTAGTAGTAATCTAAGGGATGGATAATTTAATTAATGCAAAATTAGCAGCTAACATTAACCAGGAAAACATCAAATATTGATGAGATCACTTACTAAACTATCGGGGATCAGCATCCATCCAGATAGTGGACTAAGTCTGATCGAAAATCTTCATTACATACAGGAACAAATAAAACGATAGATGCGCTTCACACGAATATTGAAGATTAAAATTCGAGTGTAATTAGACCACATTAAGTGACTTGAAAAAATGAGGCTCATCATTAGTCAAAAAGTAAAACTTTTAAGAATGATGTTGATATAGACAACAATTCGAAGAAGAAAAAAAGAAAAATGAGATGTCCCTGGTTTTACTATACATTTTTTGAGACAGCCGCAAAAAAATAGCGACGCTAAGAAAGAAGGATGCATCATGAGGTTAAAAAGCTGGAGGAGAATGCCGGGGGTAAAAAGATCTAAAGAATATAGGAACTTTGGAGAATTGCGCGAACTGTTTATCTCTCTACTGGTTTTTTGAAAAGGTGAGCGATAGACTATTTTTAAATAAAATTATTATTTTAGGTCTAAAGATTCAATATCAAAGAAGCAGGTTAGAGGATCGTTACAAGTGAGCAGCGTCTTTTCTTAAGAAACTATTTATAGTTTCATTATATTGCCAGAAAATAGATTAAAGCTGTTCTGGGATACATGCTGCAGTGCTCTACTATTCATCTCTATTATTCAAGTCATGTTCTGGTAAGTTTTACTTTTTCTTAGTCTCATAACTAATTTGCATGTAGCATTGCTTTTCAACTAAAGCCATTTGAAAACGTTCGTGTATTTGAATTGGCAATTGATTGTATTTTGATAACTGACCAATTATTCACATTTTTCACTTCTTACTATTACAAAAAGAAGTTAATTCACAAGCCATAAAAAATAATAAGGAAATACTTAACTGGGTTCTTTATTATTGACTGCTTTGCCAACATGCCGATGCTTGTATTTAATGAGAATAATAAAAATCTCTACTACTTTAAGCTTTTAAGAATTCTAAAAATCAGCTGGCTTTTTAAGAACCTAGAGACAATCTTAAAAATAGTAAATTATCTTATACTAATAAATTGCATAGTCAATAACTAAATGGTCTAAGTTAAACCAAGCAAGAACTGTTGAATGGTTCTCATTCCTTAAAATAATACTCTACATTCTTCTATTTATTCATTTTGAGTAAGCTATCATTTCTATAATGACATAAATTCAAACTATTAGAGCATGTCTACTCTCTTATTTTGGTGTGGCTTTTGATGATTTTTCGTGGATAGATATATGGGGAATAGAAAGAACAAACTTGGGGGAAATATATCTATGCGGACTTTACACAACCCTTGTTACTTTTGTAACTGTAGGATACGGTGATTTTTCTGCAACAACTACGTAAGTTTATTGACAAAGTAACTCTTGATAGATATGAATGTATTATCTTCATGAGTTTAGAATTAGCCGGCATTAGTGTGTTTTCTTTAATGATAAGAACTGTCTAAAACTTCATGTCAAATCATTCTCAAGCAATCCTCAGTGATAAATAAGATGGTTTAGAAACTTGGCTTATTGCCCTTAACAGAAAATCTAAAAATACATAAGTAATTAGACCAAGAGGTAAGCTAATTTTATTTATAGTCAATTCATAGACATTAGAAGTATACAAAGATTCTTTGAGGTCTACTATAGGAGAAGCCCTCTCTATTATTTTGACACCGAATTTTATAATGATCTAAGCATCCAAGCTAAAAATAAGCTTGTTAAGACCATTACAAAGCCTTATAAGAAGATGTTTAAGTTTTTCTTTGAGGACCTTGATCATAGTTACAAAGCTAGCAATGTATTCGTAAGAGATATACTTGCAAGTTTATTCCTACAAATTTACGAACCTAAAAAGACCATAATTGCATTCAAGGAAAATGTGACAGAAATATCGTTTATCTATTAAGGTGGAGTAGTTATATATGACAAAAATACAGACAGATCTATTGTGTAATACGGATAAGGCTCCTACATTGGTGATTTCTAGATATTTTTTGAAATAAGATCTAACTTCAGATATGTAAGTGCTGATGTGACCATAGATACTCATCTAATGTGTATCAACAAGGATAGACTAATGACAATTTTGAAAGATCATCCAACTGAGTAATCGTTCTTAACTCTTAGAGCTAAGAAAAGGTACGTCAATTTAAAAAAGAATAGAAATATTGCGAGGAAAGAAGAGATATAAAATCATTTCAAATAGTAAAGATAGGTTGTTTAAAGATTTGGATCATCATAAATGAATGCTACGTAGTCAAAAAAGGAAGATCATCCCGAAAATTTTAGTTTCAACCAATTAAGTCTTCTTGATGAAAATACAATATTTGATGCTCCTGAATCTATAGGTGAAATTGATCCCTAATAAGAAACAGTAGATGCAACTGAAGAGTATTTTGGTGAAACTAAACTAGAGCTTGAACTTGAGATAAGTGATGATGAGAGAAGCTAAGAGCATTTTAGACAGCTTAAATTGAATGAGCAAATGAGACTTACTGCTAAAAAATATGATAGAGTTCGAATTCAGCTTCAGAAAATAAATTCACTTACCTCAAGATTAAATGAAACAGTGGCTTAATCTTATAAGGAACTTAATGATGCAATTTTACAGTAATTGATAATGGGTAAATCTGATAAGCTTGAAAATTTGAGAAGAACTATTAGGTTTAGAAATCAAAATCTGATTTAAGAGATAGAGATAACAAAATCCAAAACATAAAGTATAATAAAAAGACAGACAATAGATTTTGATGAAGTAACCCTATAAACTTCATCTTTGCACACAGATTCTAGCCTTATAGAAGAAATTAAATCAAATGAAACAGATGAAGGTTAGAATAGGGATAGCGATAGAGTAGTAGCAGAATTCTATGCATTTAAGAATCATCTTGGAACATATAAAAAGAAAGGCCAAGTATAATTTGATCAACTAAAGAAAGTTAATTATTTTAAGCAAATGTACATTGAAAAGAAAGATAAAAAGAAAATCTTGAAACACTAATTAACTACTTAGCATTCGTCTAAAAAGAAGATAGTTCCCAAAAAGATATACTATGGTGGAAAAGAAGGTGGCTGGTATGGTATTAATTCTGACTCTGAGGATTCCTGGTCTCTTTAAAAGAGAGAAGGATCTGCATCAAACTCAATAAGGACTTCATTTCATTCAGATTTAAGACAAAATTCATAGTTGAATTAGTAACCAAGTTTGTAAGAAATGGTAAAGGATTTGAATAGGATATCTCCTGAAAATGAATTAGAAATCTAAACAAGGGATATGAGAAGGCTATCATAAAAGTAGATAGATGCTTATATAGTAAGAAGTAATGCAAGCTAGAATATTTTGCTAGATAATTCAGCAAACTAGAGTGAAAACCAAGATTAATCTTAAAGATTTATTTCTCCTCGAGATAATGATGACCTACTGATTCTAGAGGAATTCAATTCTATAACAAAGAGAGATAAATTGCATATAAACTAGAAACAGCCTAAATTAAAAGAAGATCTCATCAAATCGAGAAGCAATACAAGTGCAATAATAAAGGATGAACTTGAACATTAATAAATTAAAGTAAATAAGATATAGCTTACTGAAAAAATGGAATCTGAAGAGTAATCTCAGACTTAGTAAACAATGTATAACCTGACACCTGCTCTGAGAAATCCTTAAAGTGAAAATTTTTCCTATCAACCATAGAAAGCATTTACTAAAATCCAATAAAGCAAGAAAATTCAGCCTATTAAGACAAATCTATTAGATAGATATCCAAAATCCAAGAACTATTGAGATATTTTAGAATAGGATAATTTGAATAATTGGAAAATATGATTGATTTAAATTTTATTTCATAAATTTCCAAATTTCTCCCTATTTTTTTAGCTTGGGGTTTTGGGGTTTTGGGGTTTTGGGGTTTTGGGG